CATGGCCAATAAAAGCTCCTTCGTTCCTTCCTGTGCGCTTCTAGTGGTAGCCACGATGATTGTATTCCTCGAGCCCCGATCCTCCTCGACCCTTTTCTCTTCCTCCACCTCCTCCTCCCTTTCCTCCTCGCGCCGCTGCCCGTCATTCGCGCTGCGGAGAGGTTCGTCCTCTGTACAGGGCGAAGAAGCATCGATGTTTTGGCTCGCAGTGCTGGTGAGCAGGGCACGCGGGCAGTTCGTATTGCTTGAGTCATTCTTTGTTGGAAGAGGCGCCACACGGCCGAGGCGCAGTGGATATGGATCACCATCTAGCGTCAAGGGACCAGATTTCTATCCATCTCTACTGCGCCTGGGGTGTCTGGGGAAGGGGAGCCCGACATTCCATGATTTAAGGGCAACGTCTACTGGCTTCTGGAAGACCATTACTTGGGGCCTGCGCCAAATCCCGTCCTCATTTTTTAGTCCATCGACACATCGGATATCTATGCATGCGCAGACACTCGGGGTGGTTACGTCTAAAGACAACGCGGCCGTTGCGTTCGGCGCAGTACAAGGTCAGAGAAGGGGTCGATCCGTCTACGGTTTCACATAGTTCGGCAGCGAGCCCGTGGAGAAGTGAGAAGGAGAAGGCTCGGAAGCCCCCTTGCCTTCTGAGAAGTTTCATGAGCCTTCCCTGAAGACACAGCAATTTTCTCAGAAGGCGCGAGGGCGTCTGAGAAGTCCTGCCGTCTTCTGAGAAGTCCTTCTCTTTCTCGATTCCCACCTTCGCTCGCCGCAGAATGTTATTCCAAGATATGGTATACATCTGCTGCTAGGTGTCATCTCCCCCTCAACTCCTGCATGCTGACGGGGGCTGGCCGGGCCCTTGACCTCCAGGCAGGTCGGGATGCTCGAAAGGAGCACGCTGACGTGACGCGTAGGATCGGACGGGGCCAGGACGAGGATGAATCCGTTCCAGAGCGTTCCGAGACGCTCTCAGATCGGTCCGGAACGCTCTGAGAAGGCCGCGGCGCCCGAGACATCCTCCATCTGCACGAACGAGATGGGTACGGAAAGAATGGGTACAATGCCCAACAGGGATTCCTGTTCATTTCGAACAGGACTCGCTGTCGGTGTCGCCGCGGTCTGTGTACATTTGAGACAGAAGGCCGCCTGCCCAACAGCGGCCGCTGTTGGTTTGGGACAACATCTGTTGTTGGGCATCGTACCCATTTTTTCGGTACCCATGTCGGGCGTCCAAACTCCAGAGACTGGATCTCACGAATTCTCGCTTGATTTCCATCTGAATTGACCCTCGTCTTGGATTTGCCCTATAGAAGGTCCGATCCTGGTGAGGGGCGCGTTCGGGAGTCAGTCATCGGAGCTTGCATGTCCTCGTAACTCCGTCTTTTAGAGCGCATTCGTGTCGAGTAGCGTCTGATAATCGAGTTGGCGTCGATTAGGGTCGATTGGCGTCGATGTGCGTGGATGTGCTTGGGTCTGCGTCGATTCGCAAGAGCAAACATGATGGTTTTGGAGGCTCCCACGAGTTGTCGCAGAAGGCGTTCCGAAGTGGGCGCGGCGACATCGTGCGGTTCGCGCGGCGGCGCAGTTGGAGGTCCGATGTCCAACATCCCCATTTTCCGAGGATGTCTCAGGCGAAACGTTCGTGTTTAGCATAAGACGTCTTAAGATACGACCACAGACTTCACGATTGTGCGAAATGTTCCAGGCGATCCTCGCGAATCAGGGGTCACGACAGGGAGGTGCTAAGGGGGAGGCGTCGTCTCCCAATCGCCCATTCGAAGCCTGTCCAGGGAAGTGGGGTCCCCCTCGTGGGCCAGTCTCCGACGTATCGGCGATGTGTCGTCGATCCCAGATCATCGTGCCCTCCCCATCCTGAGCTAGCCAAGCTAGCCCCCCCCCGCCACCTAGCTGGGAACTCAGCAATATGCCCGTCCGCCGTTGAAAGTAGGTGTTTCCGGAGTCCCAGATCCTAACCTTCTTCAAGCGCCCTCCGACTTCAAGAATCGACATGTTGTTGCTGTGTTTTGTTGTTATTTGGGAGGGCCTGGACCCAATCTACTTCATCCGCCGTCCTACTTCATGGTTTCACCTGCTTCTTCCGACCGACGTTTACCCATACCGCTACTTCCCTTCGGATGCAATTCCTTGGAGGTCAACTCCTGACATTGCCCTGCTCCGAAATCCGGCTGAATCCCGCTTGATGCCGGTTAATATGTTTTAATCTGGGCCATCATCCCGTTGTATCCCGCTGAATCCGCGGCCTAATCTGGCGTAGTAGCCCCCCAATGGGGCCTATTCATTTTAATTATTTCGGCGAAGACCTCCTGTAGTTCTGTAGCAAATTATGGGAGCCTGGTATCGAATAGGCTGGCGACTAGCGTCGAATAGAGTCTGGGAGTCGATGAGGTAGCGCCGATCTAGCGTCGGTTAGCGTCGGTTTAGCTTCGACCAGCGTCGATTTAGCGTCGACTCAGCGTCGATTAGCGTCGATCTG